TAATTGGATTTGTTTAAATGTGTTTGTTTTTTTTTTTTTTTTTTTAAACCCTGTGGTCCTTTTAAGGGTAAAATGAAGGCCCTATATGGCCGGCCCCCCCCCCCCCCCCCCCCGGGGGGGGGGGGGGAAGGTTCCCCCAAACGGGCCCTTTGGTTGGAAAGATCAAAAGGGCGGTTAAGAAAACTTACCCCGCTAAAAAAAGAAAGGGGGGGGGGGGGGGGTGCAAAAAAACTGTTTGTTGATTTTTGGCTATACTGTTGTTCTGACAACGTTGTAATTTAGTCACAGGCGTAAAATTCAAGTGGTTTTTTGAAGTGTAACATGAAATGTATGTACTGAAACTGATATATGTTATTTGTGAAGAGCTGTGATTTGAAGTTGATTTATTATTTAAAGTACAAGATTCAGAGGAGACTAAGATTTCATTTCGGGTGTCCGCTTACGGGAGCTTAAAAACAAAGCCAAAATATAACTCGTAAACCCTTAAAGTTTTCGCGCCCGCTTACGGGAATGTAAACAGCTTTGAAAAAAATTAATACAAAGTTTGTGGGGGAGTTTAAACGGAGTTTTGTGAAGGTGGCCGTAAATAGAGTAGCATGGAGCAAGGAGAGCTGTCCACTGACGAGATTATCCGTTGGGAGAGCTTCTACCAGCTGTTCTGCCGTAGTATTTTAATCTCATGTGAATTGAGCTTTATTAGCGAACTTATTAATTAATTACACATAAATTCATCACTTTAGTAACTGTTTTGTATTTCAGTCGAGGACGAGTGTAAGGAGAAAGGCTATTATTGTCCCAACAACTTAATTTGCACGAAAATTGATAACGAGTTCTATTGTATGTGTAATGATGGCTGGACTTTGACGAATTCTGGAGATAAAGCCTTTTGCAAAGGTATTTGAGATTGTTCCCATTTATTGATCTTATTTGCTAGGAGGCGTGTTGGATTATATTAGCTATCTAGCCCTTTTTTGTGCGCAACCAGTAATTACATCTTATCGCTTTAGCGCTCGGTCATCGGCAAGAAGGGTTATTGGCCAGTTCCTTATTCACCGGATAATTAACTGTCCAGCGGAATCATTATAGTATTAGGGAAACCACTGGGTAAATCTTAATCCAGTGGATAGCGTTATCTAGCTTTTGAAAAAGTGGGGCCCGAAGCAAGCGTTTTGTATAGATCGTTTTCCGATGAAGTCACGGCACCCGTTTCAATTATTGGACCAAAACAATGATACAGCGGCTATGTTGGTGAACAAAGCCAATCCCGTGGGAGTTGCACTCTTCCTGTGTAGACACTTTCTTTTATTTAATAAGTTTTCCAAGATGCTAACCTCGCAATTGAAAACTCTCTATGTAATCTACCCAAACCGAATTTTTCAATTACCAAGCAAGATGATAAGACATTTCACAGAAAAAGTGGAGAAGAGGTGAAAGATTAAATGTCCCTGTAAGAGCTTAAGACTATCACCTCACCTCAAGTCACCACTTCGCTCGCTCTCTGTTGTGGATAAAGCCTCCACACTTCTGCACCAACTGCTATCTTAAAAAGTGCATCTGGGCTTTGTAATGATATTTTGTACCGGAATGGGACATTAACCCACCGTTTAGCTCCCAAACTGGAATACCCGAATACTTTCCCAGCACGGTTGAACCAACCAGGGAACGAGATTCCTACTGGTATTCCTTCCAGGATCACCGAGGCACGACGTTAAGGCGTAACGCTTAGGGAGGTTTAGGCTATAAGCAGATTACAAAATGGGGAGGCGTGTGTGGAACACCTCGAACTCTGGATATGGAGGTCCAGGGTTCAAGCCTCGCCCGTCGCGTTGTTTTCTTAGGCAAGGAACTTTACTCCACTTTGTCTCTCTTCACCCAGGGGTATAAATGGGTACAGGCGACACACTCCTGGGGGTAACCCTGCGATGGACTAGCATCCCGTTTAGGGGGAACTAGCATACTCTAAGGCATGCTTCATACTACGGAAACCGCGATAAGCTCCAGCCGTCTGGGCCTTTGGCTCATGTGCACCTTTACCGTTTTTACCTTACCAGGTTACAAAATGATTGGGTTTCATTTTTAGTGCCACGGAGCTCTTAGAAAACTAACGTTCTTTTGCCTCTGAATACATGCCTGCTGTCAGGCCTAGGGACATTGTACAATTGGTTCGACCATCTTGTTTCGATATCTGATATCGTCTTGAGAGATTGGTGACACACATTTTAGTTAGACCTAATTAATGGCGTTTACAAATCAACTATTGTTTCAGCAAACGACGAGTGCATAAAGAAAGGAGAGACGTGCCATTCTCCTTTAAAGTGTCGGAAACAAAAGGACGGATCACATGCTTGTGATTGCGCTCCAGGTTATAAAATGACAGGGAGTGGAAAGGGAACGAAGTGTGAAGGTAATATACAGTGTTGGATCAATCGATTAATTTTTCCAGGACTTTTTAAGTGACGTTTTCGTGGCTGTCCCCATCGTTATTGCTTAAGCTCCCACATTAAGAGCATGGTGGACTGTTCTTTTGACTTTCTAAAAAGACTGTCGTCACAATGTGAATGTTGAGTGTCTGTCTGACCCACACTCTTCCGTAATATTAGTACAAAGAGTAGACCATAAAGTTTGCTATAGAGTGTTTTCACATGACGTCGCGGCGGCCATATTGGTGTCCCAAAACAATGAAACAGCGGCCATGTTAGTGTGGCAAACCAATCCTGTGGGAGTTGAACTCTTTTCTTATGCAAACGCTTTCTTTTGTTCCAATAAATTTACATACATGCTAGCCACGTGAGTGAAAACGCTCTATAGCCATGACTCACTAATGCAGGTTTTGTTATTTCAGCGAAAAATGAATGCGTTAAGCAAGGAGATGTCTGTCCTTCTGCGCTGCTTTGCCTCAATCGAAAGGGATCTTTTGCTTGTGGCTGTGATCCTGGTTTTAAGGTGGTTGGTTATGAAGAGGCGAGGACTTGCAAAGGTACCATTTGCTATTTTGGGTATCAATAATTTGATGTTTGGTCCACTCCCCATTTCTCCGCACCCCGGCAAACAACCCCACCCCCTCCAATACCTGCCACGATGGTCGTGAAGTTTGAGCGAACTCTCTGAGAGCGTTATTGCTCCATCCTCACTGCAGGTGAGCAGTTGCCAAAGCGTTTTATGAATAATTATTTCAGCCCTAGACGAGTGTGACAAGCAAGGAGACAGCTGCCCCTCTGGTTTACAATGCTTAAAACAGGCCAGTGGATCACACGTCTGTGGCTGTTCTGCTGGTTACAAGGTGATAGGAGAAGGAGAGTGGAGATCTTGTCAAGGTATCATTGCAAAAGGCTCGTACCCAGTCGCTGTTTATGTGTATTTAAGGCGAGAGAAGTAAGAGAAGACTGGGGTTAGGTTAAGGCGCGCAGTGTCATGGGAAGGGCCTCATTTTAGCCCCATTCTTCTCTCTCCCGAAAACACTTAAATAGCAACTGGATACGAGTCTGTCATTGCAATTCAAAGTAGACAGACTGCAAATGTAGTAGTTGCTAAAAAATATATCTACGAAGCTTTACACAGACGTATTGGTGCGTACTGTTACTTGATTACGAGTTCCTGGAAGTCCAACTTCTTTTTTTTTTAAGTTGTGGCGTTTGTTTGGGACTCATGAGCACTGACACCTATTTCAGATTGTGTTGAGTTGGTTTTGCAATCCTCAGTGTTCTGGCCATAGTCTGTTCTTTGGAGATTTTTTTGTTTTTTTGTTTTTTGCATTTTACGTTGAAATGTCTTGAAACATTCACAATTTCTCACGTAAACGCTGCACTATTATTCAACAAAACTCTACGATTTCTGAAAACGCTATTGCCTATAAATCAGTTAGGTGAAGTCTTTTAATTCACTTTACCTCATTTAACCTTTCTAAACTGACGGTTTACCGTGTATATCAGGCCATTTCCGAGTTACCCAAAGCCTCTGTGTCAAAGCGAGGCTTAGTGCGAAGCCATTGATATAAAAATGACTTTGAATCTCTTGCAAATAAAACTCATTTTCACAAGAAAGTTTTAACCTCGTTTTGATAGTGAGAATTTTTGGAACTCTGAAATGGCCCGTTAAACGATATTTATGTATGTTGACCATGTTTGTATCCACTGACCTCGTCCCAGGGCCTCTCTTTCTTCTTGGGAATACAGCATATTTGACACAAAGAGTGAGGATTTGAGAAAACAATAATAATAAAAAAATTTAACCTTACCGGGGCAGCTGATAGTTGTGGCACTTAATGGTAATCAAAAGAATCTTTTTCAGTCATGGATGAGTGCGACAAGCGAGGGAATAGTTGTCCTTCGAGATTAAAATGCATAACACGAGACAATATAACTCACGACTGTGGCTGCGAGAAAGCTGACAACGTGGTTAAAGGAGAAGGAAAGAAAAGATTTTGCAAAGGTAAGATAATGTTCATTTTTTCAGGCCCCGGTTGTTGGAAATGTGGATACTGCAATCCACTGGATAAATACTATCCAAAGGATAACGCAATCGGTTTTCGTAATACCTGTCCACTGGATAGTGTTACCCAACTTTTGAACAACCGGGGACTGAATAGACTCTACGGGCTAGTTATTTACACGTTTTAGTCAGTTTAGCCAGTGTTTAAGACAAAACCCTGTTCTAAGCCATTTTCAGTTTGTCGAACACTTTTATGTAAACACCGGTTATTGTGAACAGTTACATGAAAGCATATAGCGTAGATAAGAAAAACAATTATCTTCTTAAAATAACCCACTGAGGAAGGGATCTGCAGGTCTAAAGATTTCCTAAACCGCAGTCTAAGTTAGATTTTGTTTAAATAACCGGCCCTAGTTAACGTTTTTGACCTAAGTTTCTTGGAAAAATAAAAAAAATTTAAAAAAAAGGTTTCGAAGAAGATCGATTTATTAGAATTTTTTTTGGACTGCTCCTTCTCTCATATTGCATATATCCTGCCGTTCACCAAATGAGCTTGGGTTGCCTGTGATAATTTAACGAAGACTTCTAGATTGATTATTCATTTCTCGACCCTCTCTGTTTCAGAAATGGATGAGTGCGACAAGATAGGGAAGTCTTGTCCCTCTAATCTCAAATGTCTTAAGAAAAATGGATCTTTTACTTGTGGCTGCGAGAACACTGGCTTTATTGTGAAAGGAAGTGGAGAGAGAAGGACATGTCAAGGTACAAAATCACTGTTAGAGAGATTAAGAGTCACGTTTATGGCAAACGGCAAACGTGAGATTGAAGTTGAGAATTTCTCACAACAGAAAATAAGCGGATCATGAAACTGTCCAGGACAATTCTTATGGATAAAACTGGCCTGAAACAACTTATTTTTGAGTAGAAGTAATAAACAGTAAACGACAATGAAGGGGAAAACTTTGTCACTTAGTACAAATTCATGTCTGCCGTTTGGCGTAAACATGAATCTTTATCTCTCTATTATGTAAGATTCTCTGTAAAGAGATACCGCAAGAGGAGCAAGGGTGGCCCAGTGGTGAGAGCGCTCGCCTCCCACCAATGTGGCCCGGGTTCAAATCCCGGCGTCGACGCCATATGTGGGTTGAGTTTGTTGTTGGTTCTCTCCTTTGCTCCGAGAGGTTTTTCTCCTGGTACTCCGGTTTTCTTCTCTCCTCAAAAACTAACATTTTCAAATTCCATTTCGACCAGGAATTGTGGACGACGGAACCACTATGTGGTTGTGTAACCTCTAAATCGTTATTAATTATGATTATAATTATGATTATTATTATTGTTGCATAATTGGAGTTCATTAGAGTGATATGTTCGTTTATAGCTGTTTTGAAAACGCACCAGCCCTCCCCGCCCACTCCCTGATGTTCAAACCTTTCACTGAGTCAATGTTTATAACGTAAATATGAACTACACCCGAGATATGGTTGTATCTGTAATATTTCAGCAAAGGACGAGTGCGCAGAGTATGGGGAAATTTGTCCTTCTGATGCACAGTGCAAGAAGCAAACCAATGGATTTTACACTTGTGTTTGTGGGCCTGGTTATAACATTTCAGCAGAGGAATGGAAGAAGACTTGTGAAGGTACTAACGTCGAGGCTCGTTTCAAATATACCCGGTGTGCCAGAATAAGTCTTTCATCGCCCTGTTCGTGGTCACTAGTACATGGACCTTTATCGACTTAATATGGAATCAGCACTGGCTCTTACAAGTTATGATCATATGCTGTATTTGAATACGTGGCTTTGATTTCTATCATGACCGTATGACAAAGTATTTTGAAATATTTAGAACATTACTTTCTTTAATTAACTATTTTGATTTCTTCTACTTTAATCCTTTATGAACTCGTAAAGGAACTGAAAAATAACATCTGCCTTTCTGATGAACTGAGGAAACCTTTTTGACGAAATGATGGGGGAAGGAAAGGATTCTTACGGGTATTTCTTTCTCTGTTTCTTTTCTTTCTTTTTTTTTTTTTCATTTTTCCATCCACTTGAAGACGAGGTTAAAAAGCTTGAAATTTGTTTCTTGAAACCCGTTTAACTCATAGTCTTTGCTGCACCAGAACAGAAAGCGGCTGACACCATATTTTGCCTCAGATGTAGATGAATGCAAACAAGTAAATCATCAATGCAAAGGAAGTGGTCAGAAATGTGTCAACAAACAAGGCTCGTACGAATGCCAGTGTGAAGAAGGATATCTAAAGAGTGGTGCCAATAACTGCAAGTTAGGTAGGATTGAATATAGATGAAAGCTTAATAACGGACTTAACATGAAGCATAAGATCTAACAAACAGAGAATTAGAATTTGCGTTATTGTCAGTGGTGTGACATCAGTTACATGACTGTATAAGGCGTTAATAGAAGACCATAAATAGGCAGGTAAAATACTTGGCGGTACAGCAAGAAACCGATGAATCCTTTCCCAGGTGGATTCATCGGTTCATTTGACGTACTATGATCACCGATCCCGATCCAGATTATCCGAATGGAACGTAGCACGGCCAAATGTCATTTATTTTTCATTACAGATATATGTCACATTGTCAGATGCAAAGAACACGAAGTATGTCATGAAGGAAAATGCAGATGCAAAAAAGGCTTCAAAAAAACTAAGGCAACCAAAGGAAAGTGTGTGAACGGTAAGCTCTGATCCTTTCGTAAATCCTGAATAGCAAAAAAAATTTATAATGAAGCTCTTCGTGTATGCACCTACCTTGCAACTGCTTATCAAAATGAGCAAGTGGCAATCTGTGTATAATAAGAATTAGGCGATAAGTGCGCGGAGTTTACAGTGTTTTGATTCAGTAAAAACCATTTCTTCTGACCTTTCTAAGGGCTGATTTTCAGTGTCGCGTAATTTTTACGTGCGCAAAATTTACGTTCGCAAATAAAATAGAGGCAATGCATGAAAGGTCACTCGTAAGCGTAAAATTTGAACCTCGCTCGATTTCTCGTTTACGCTCAGTACTTTATATCTTGCCTCTATTTTATTTACGTGATTAAAATTCACGTGAGGTAACGTGCGTAGCCAAAAACGCTTCAGTGGAAATCAACCTTAACTCACTCGCTATTGGTGGTGAAACTTGTGCGGCATATCTATGATCCGGGTTTATAGTGAATCTTATCATGATCAACTCTCGTTGTTGAAAGAATTAAGGAAATCTGACGTATGTGAGTCGACTGATCTATACTCCCAGCCTAATAACCAGTAAAGAAAATGTAAGCTATGATTCCTTCTCATAGTAAATATTTTAGACTAACGCATACCCGTCTGATAGTAAAGTAATGAAAAGAGTTAAGGTGGACAAAACTTACTACACAAATCTTATGATGTTTTTCTCTCTTTATTATATTATATTTTATTATTTTATTTCAGTTCTTGCATTATCCGCAGCTGTGTCCCCTCATTCCACTCCTGGCGCCATTTATTTGGGAACTTTCATCATTGGATACTTAGGGATACATTCGATACTCGACATTTCTACCGCTCAGCTGTAAAGTAACTCAGAAATTTTGGATTCTTGTTTCCAATAAAGCGATCTGTACAAAGCACTTTCCATGTGGTATTGTTGCGCATACTGAGGCACTCATCATTCTACCGGCCTTTTGATTTAAATATTTTCAAACTGCTTAAATATGAAACTTGCCGTCTACTCATTGTAAAATGACAAAGAAAACGACGTAACTATTACAGTGGCGTATTTGAGGCGTTTTCAGATCTTCTATTTAGTTGGGTGTGGAGAGCTAGCTCATCCAGACCCTAACAGAAAAGGGGGGCCTGGCCTCGAAAATAATAGTAATCTATTCCCAGTGGACGTTCGCATAACAAAGGCCTGGGACTCAAGAGATGAGTTACGGGACATGCGAGTCCGCAGGCGAGAAGGCGATAGGACTAGACCAAGATGAGAGAAAAAATCGGGGGGGAGTGAGGGTCAAACAGACGAACCCCAAAGCAAAACGGGTGTAGACCCCCACCCCACAAGGGGCTTTGACGGGCGCATGAATCCAATCCTTCCGCCCTTGCAGCCAAACTGGACAAATTTGCTTACACACGTGTTTATTTATATAGAGAAAGCCACTCCCGAGGGAGAAACGCACACACACTCCTGAAATAGATCTCTCGCTGCTAATTCGTCAGAATTAAGGCCAGTGTTGCGCGAGCGAGCACTGGGAATAGCTTTTCTATGCCCTGTGGGCGTCAACAACTCGTTTTTTATTCTTTATTTCTTTATTTTCTTTAATTTGTTTTCCATTTCTGTGTGCTTACTTAACTCGCCAATACATTCACTGCAGTTGCGCGCTCGTTCACAGATCTTACTGGCGTCCCATTAACCATGGGAGATTTGATAACGAAATTAGCTGCCCCATTCTTTTCGCTTTTACTTACTTGTTCATAATGATGTTGGTCAAATTAAAACAATTACCAGGAATAAGTGGTACCTGGAGATACCTTATTTACGAATAATACCTGCTTACGTGTCTATAAGTACGCCGGTACAGGGCTTGCAAAGACTGCAAAATCTTTTTCTCTATCACCTGTCTCAGTACGTTCGCTTGCGCGCATGGACAAAATTAAGAGCGCTGGAATCTTTGGACCTACGTCATCAAAGATAATTGTTTTCGATTGTCAATTAGTTATAACGAGTTCGAACAGTTTCTGTTTTCTGTTTTGAAAAACATGGTCAACCCCATTGGTTTCTAGCTATTAACTCTGAAAACATGCTCCAAGCATGTTACGGAAATACATGGACTAGTTTTGATCGACAGGGAGGTAGAAGACGCGGAAACACTTTCAAGAGGGCTGTTGAAGTACTCTTCAAAAATGGGAACTGACATTAAACACATCATTCTTCTCTTGGGTATTTGTTTCGTAAGTGTTGCGCCGACAAGAAGTATGAAGTACTTTCAACTCCAATATCGTAAGTCTTTTGAAGCTGTATAACGTAACAAAAAAAGATTTTTAATTGGAAAGCTTATTTCAGGCCCAGAACTGAAAAATGACCGCGGTAACACAAAATAGTTTGAATTCCGAATTTTTTTTTGTTTTTCTTTCTTTTCGTTCTCTTTTCTTTTGTTTTTTATTTGTTGTTTATTTGTTTGCTTGCTTGTTTGTTTGTTTGTTTCTACATTAAACCGATTCATAAAGAATATATTATTCTGGAGAAAATCGGTCTGAATATCTTTGATTCACTACGTCAATGAGGAGCGAATCTAAATCTTTTGAATTATAGTATGGTTTAGGTCCCGTAATTTAATGTAAAAGCACCTTATGAAATGTCCACAACACCAAAAATGATAGCCATTTTTGTAAGGATTACAACCACAAGCTATCCTGCGATACCTATATAACTCAAATATTGGAGTGTCTTCCCGCCCTCGTGCCACCCCCACCATATCTTTATAAACTGACGAGAGGGTAAAGTAAATAACCAACAAAGTGAGCGACAATGTGAGTCTCTTGTTCAAAAATTCCAGCCACACAAGTCTTACACACTTGACATATTTTTATCTTTTATTACTAACAGCTGAACCAGGTCGCTGTTCTGACGACTGGCCCTGTCCAGGAAATAACCCATGTATCAGAAACGAATGTCACTGTCCAAAACCTAACACAATCGGTAATGGACAAACATTTTGTACTGTGCCAGGTAAGGAAAGGGAGCCACAGCGAGACCCGGAAATAATTCATGTATTAGGAACGAATGCCACTGTATGAAACCTAACACTATCGGTAATGGAAATACATGGTGTACTGTTCCAGGTTAGGAAGGCGAACCAAAGGGAAGCTAATTTACAAAATGTTTCATAAGAGAAAAGGATAGCACTTCAAGAAAACCAGGAGAGGAAGTATTTTATCGTGAAAGTGAAAACTGACACTGAAAGATTAAAAGCTGGCCGTGTTTTTCCCCACCTTTTTCCACACCCATTTGCACCATGCTTTCATCACGTACTGTTGTGTCTCGATCTTTGCATTCTGTTTGGGACACATTAAATTTAGTCAAGGCCACCTGACCATGAATCAACCATCGGGAATCCCTGTTTAGTTGAGTGAAAGTCTAAGAATATATAGGCATTTATCTAAATTATAGAATTCTCAATATGGGCACAAGAAGAATAAACCTTTCTGTTCACTTGACAGATCATCCTGGCGGTCAGTGGAGTCCTGGATGTGACAAACCTGACGGCAAATGTGGGCATTACACCAAGAAGAAGTGCGACTGCGGACACTATAAGAACTCTTACTGTATTACTCAAGGGATAGTATCTCAAATACCAGGAGTTTTGGAATACACCTGCAAGTGCAAAGAAGGATTTTTCGGAAGACCAAATGGCGCTCACTATAAACATTGTCTAAGCCCAAAAGGTAAATTAAGCTGAAGGGACCGGCGATTTAACGTCGTTCCCAGGTCTTCACTAGCACCAGACAGGGAAATTCTATTGGAACGAGTTTGCCTTTGAAGCTGAAAAAAACGAAAGCGACCTAGCGCTTCCTCTAGTTAAACATGGCATAAATTTGGAGATCATATCTTGTTAGTTTGTGCCAATTAGTGATATATTGCTAATTTAGGGCCTGTTTACATGGAGGCGGGGGACCCCAGGTAGGTGAGGTAACGCGCATAGGTGGGGTAGCCCGCCTTTCCATACAATCTCTCATTTTAATTTGATCACATTTACATATTAGGTGGGGTGACCCGCCACACACACACCTACCTGGGGTCCCTCACCTCCATGTAAACAGACCCTTAGAAGGAGAGTTATTAATAAGTCATCGATAAAAATAACAAGTTTGTCAATGAACACTTACAAATTGGGTTAAGCGCTAAACTATTTGAATAAAACCTTTCAGCCAATTTGAGTTGCATCTAGATAAAATTACGCAGCCGTGTTGAAAGGAATAAAAAAAATTCGCTAACGTCAACGGATGCGAAGAAGTCCAACATTTTTAAAGATACATGAAACAAAATGGAGCGAACACGTTACTTATTTAGGTTTCACCGCAATATTTTATATATAGAAGCACGATTGAACGTAATTGTCTGAAATGACTTTGAAGCGTTGTTTTCTTTCAAACAGTCGATAAAGATGGGCGTGTACCCTGTATAACCGATCGTAACTGCCATAAACAAGCCACCTGTAAAGACTTCAAATGTTACTGTAAGAAAGGTTACAAAGGAAATGGCCACAAGTGTATCGGTAAGATTTGAACCGTTCCTCAGCTAAAGGAGCACATTCCAAAGTTTGGAATATGTTGGTCACTAGATGTTGTGTAATTGGTCGTCACAGTATCTTTATCTTGTATCCAGCTTTTCTGATCTTTTCAACTTGCAATGTCAACTGCTGAGATGACGCCCAAAGTTACATGAAGACGAATAGAACGGACTAAACTTAATTAATTTAAAATCCAACTAGTGGTCTCTTATCAATGCTGCGTTCTGATTGGTTGAGCTACTTCTAGGCTATACGTTATAGCCCAGGTAGCGAAAAATGCGGGCTTTTTGGCGGCAAAAAAGGATTAAAGTCTAGCTTTAACTAGATAAAAATTTTTTATTCTCGATATTTTTGACCAACTAGTTGAATTTTACTAAAACAATTATTCCTCTCGCCCTCATGGCCTCTGAGTCAATAGCCCTTGAGGCTAAATAAACGGCGAAAATGGGGGGCATGTTTAAGTCTCTCAAGCTTAGGTTCAGGCCTTCTTAGGCTTTGAAATGTATAAATTAGAGGTAGACCTGTGATATCAAGTTCCTAGCTGCATGGTAAAAAATGGTGGGTGCTAACCTTTGGGGTTAAACCAAATCTGAATCAATCTGCTCAACCCCCAAAAAGATAAATAAAACAATCCGGTAAAAAGAGAGGCAATAATTCACTTCAGTAACTACAACTTCCCGGCAGACGGAGTCATGTTCTTAATATGACTAACGAACTAATTACAACTAAATTTTATTTCAGCTCTGAATGAGTGCGTTAAGCAAGGAGATTTTTGTCCCCGTCTCTCAGAATGCAAAAAGCAGGAAAACAGCTCTTTTGCCTGCGTTTGCAAAAGTGGCTTTAGAATGACTGGAAACAAAAGCCTAGCCTGCATAGGTAAGTATCACAAATTTTCTTCGTTTTCCTTCCGTAACGAAGCCTTTAGTCGCAATGGATGTAGTACATCCCCAGGATTAAATTACAAGGCAAATAATACGTTTTTGAATAGTCTTACAAAGAACTTCTTTGAATTTCAAGTTTTGAATTTACGTCAGTTAAAAGTTATGGAAAGGGCTAGGCTCACAGTTTGCTCGTGAATGTACTTAAATTTTTCTGAATTTTGGCGGGTCCGTTGTGCTAGTATAGTGGGAAGGGAGAGAGATTATAGGATATGAAAAGTGCGGGTTCAACCCTGGGTTGCGATTTTCATTCTTTTTAATAGAAAATAGAAGCGACCGTTTACGAAAGGGACGCTGGCTGCGTCGACGAACAACCCAACCTCGTTTCCAGGATCTCTCTTCCTACCATTGCCAAGAGGGATTGGGAAGAAGAGGAACCTGGGACCGAGGTTGAAGACAGCGTTCATGGTTAAAAATGCTTTCCATTTTTGTTTTAGTTCTGTACGGCTCATTATAAACTTGTTTGACACGAACCAGATGAGTTCTTACCAGAGTATGAGTTTTGTTTTGTTTTGATTGTTTGCTTGTTTGTTTGTTTGTTTTTTTGAGGGGGAGGGGAAGGACTTATACATTTTAATATTAAGGTGCAATATACAAAGACCTTGTATTTCATCTAGATAAAAGCTGTCAGGATACTTATTTATAATCTACAGATATCGACGAATGTTCGGAAATGAAACCTTGCTTTGCAAAGTGTAACAACACTGTGGGAAGCCATCAATGCATTTGCGAAAACGGCAAACCAACGAACGAGAGTGGCTTCTGTGGTAAGGCCTTGAACACTATTTGTTCCCTTCTGATCAGAATCCAGCGACTAGTGCAACACATCTTCACAGTCAGAAATATAGATGATGCTAATTTATGACAAATCCTACTAACAGTAAAACCCTCAGATTCATGACCTTCTTAAATGGGATCTGATACCGCTAAAATTAAAAGGAATTAGCAAACAGCTACAAATGAGTGTAAATTAAACTGATAACTGAGATTCGAGCACCCAACCTTATGCAGTCCTTCTGCTATTACTCGAATTACAGCTAGAACTTTGCAGTGTCATCATTTACCCAAGCATGTGCAGTTGCACCTTATTTCGCCCTATTCTAAATCCCAATGCATTCATACTTTATAATCACTCTTCCCTTGAGCTTTCCCTTAAAAAATGAGAGGGGCATTTTTCATTTCCCTACCCACCAATTTTTTAAGGGAAAAAACTTGAGGACGAGGTATATCTATAATTAGCCACTTTACTGCTTAGAAATGTTCTCCTTAGTACTAAACTGCTTTCCTTCAATAGAACTTTGCTTATTCTTGGACAAAAAGCTTGATATCATTTTGATACATCCCCATCCCACCCTCTATAAGTCAAGCTGCTCGATAATCATCCCCTTTATCCTGGTGCAGCCGTACCTATAAACAATGTATATGATATATAACCTCATGCCGACTTTTTGCAGACTGTAAATGCAAGGAATACGGGAATGGAGACTGTCCAAAAGGAAGCTCAAAATGTTCTTGTAATGATGGATATAAATACTCTGAAGAGGAAGACAAATGTGTTGGTACGTGTATGATGCCTTGTATTATGATTAGAAAAAATACTGAGATCCGTGACTTAAAACATATTGTACCTCTGGGATATTCTTCAGGGTTTCTTCTGGTAATTATAATTTCTTAAAACAGTTTTACTTTTTTCCCCTTTTTTCTTGCTCCTTAAAAACAGTGTTTTAAAATCCTGGCCCTGGTTGTTCAAAAGTTGGATAGCGCTGTCCACCGGATAAATCACTATCCAGCTGATACTTGTTGGGATAACCAATTATTAAGTTATCCGCTGGATAGCGATTTATCCATTGGATTATAGCGTTATCCAATGCAACTTCTGAACAACTTGGACCTGTTTTTTAGGTTTGTGATAGATGAGGAACTGCATTGAGAGCGTGGAGGTCCTACCAATAAATCATTATTTGTATATTTATTTAGTTAGTTTGTTAGTTAGCTACTGTTTAGTAAGTTAGTTAATGTTTTTTTTAATATTTATTTATCGAAGACATATCAAAATTTTTCAAAGGACCGCTTATCTACCTAACGAAATCTAGCTTTTACTGTTGACAGATATAAACGAATGCGAAAAAAAAAAGAACCCTTGTGCGGGAGCTGGTAAACAATGCATCAACCGAGCAGGATCATATGAATGCCAATGCAAAAAAGGATTCGTAAAGAATGGAAATGACTGTGATGGTGGGTGGTTTTAAATGTTAGTAAGCAACTAAGGTACCGCTTTATGTTAGGTAATCCAGATTCTGGAATCCGGGAAATTTTCCTTGTGCGTTTCCCGCGAAATAACGTCTGAGGAACAAGCGCGGGCAGAAATTCCATACTGTTGACGCGTCAGTATACCCAGATCTGGGTAGTACGTTTGATTGGCTAGTCCAACAATTTGCTTCAACTAATCAGTAGTGGCACGTCATCAGGCTTTCCACAAGTTTCCCGAGATTTCTCAAAAAGTTGCTCAAAAGTTGCTAAAATAAAGTCAAAAGTTGCACGAGAAGCTGCACCAGAAGTCGCCAAGCAAGAAAATTTTGGAAAGCCCTAAACGACCCCCATGTAACTAGAAAGTAGACTTGCTACAAGTCAGCCTCTCATAAGTTCTTGAAATAGGTGGAGCGATCTGTAACTGGATGTTAATCTTGAGCCGTGGCATTCTTACACAAAAATGTTGTTCTTGTTAACGTTAGGTTTTTTGTTTTTCAAATACATATAGACGACTAGTGACTGAAGTTTATTTACAAGCTTTATTTTTCTATTTTTCTTCTAACAGCCATTATCACATGTGCGGATATAACTTGCAAAGAAAACGAGATATGCCACGAAGAAAAACCAAAAGCAAAATGTATTAAAGGTAAACCTCTACCAACTATTTTTCGCGTTGTGAGTAGGAAGCAGCTAGTTCATTTGTCTTTAATTTTTATTGCCTGGAACTACGATTTAAATTCACGATTTAATTGTTACTGACAGCTACGTTTTCAAAAGTGAGTTCCAGTTTACTTATTGCTGTTTTGCCTTGTTTTGTTTCATAGTTCTCGCACTATCAACTGGAGGGACCCATTCTTCTTCCTTCAGCATTTACCTCGGTGTCATGCTCACGGGATACCTCGGAGGCCTGGCCCTAGTGGTATAAGAAGCTGGGCCTGAGAATTCATTTACGACAAACTACTGCCTTTTCTTATTCTTTTAATCGGAGCGAGCAGAACCTCAGAGGAATTGAATACTTCAGTTCGTTAGAGGGGTTTTATTATAATGATTTTCACTTACTTACAATGTTTAATTGATTGCCTTGACTGTCTGGTGCTTCTTTCTTCAATAAAAACGCGTTTCTTAGCTACCGTGTGGGCAGTTTTTTATATTTTATATCATATTATTTATTCTTTAGAAATAAGACAATTGGCAATTACACATTTAATTTGTTACTTTTACGATAAGTTAGAACTTGCCCCCAACTTCAACTCCGCACCCACCCCACCCCCCCCCCTGCTCTCCCACTCCTTCGCAAAGCCGTGATGCTAATCCTCAGGCTGCAAGCTGCTATCAGTATTACAGCCATTTGAAGACAGGTCTCAAACTTATAGTAAAAGTTCATTACGTTTTGGTCAGCACAAAAGTGTCACGTGATTGAGAATCTCACCGGTTATCCATTACTGAATTGCTGTTTGTTGAAACAAGAAAGGTGCGCACTTTATCAGAGAAATCAACCTTGACTCCTTTTTTTATGAAAAATAGGAAAAGTTGGCCTTAAAGGCCAGACGACCAAGAAATGCAGTGATGAGTACTGTCACGTGACTGGAGACATGAGAAGAACTGGACGAAGGCGGACGAACGCCTAAGGTGGGACCTAGATTAAACACAAAGAAATTATTTAATAGATGTTAAATTTATTTTTTCCTGCTACTTGTAATACAGAGCTAATTGTTGGACAGAGGGGACCAAGCAAAACATCAACAAAATCCAAAATGTGAAGAAATGTACTATGACTACTATTGAACAACAGTGATATTAAAAGATCTTTTCCTCCTTTCCAAACAGTTAGGCGGCATTTTATACACACAGCCACAAAGGCTTACTTAAGACGAAGCGTGAAATTTTACAACGAAAAGGTACTGCTGGTTAGAATTATTTGTGCAGTTATTCAAGCCATACGCCCGAGATTGCATTGCGTGAGATAGTGGACATGAGATGACAACTTGATAGGAAAGGTTACTCACCTGAACGTCTGACACAACGACCCATGTTATTTCTTCTAAATCCCAATGCACTTTTGCATCTGCACTTTCCACGCCGGCACTCTTCAGTTTTTTCATCGCAGTTACACGCTCCTTTAACTATTGCTAAAAAAGAAAAACGTGTTTCACGTTGACAACAGCTGATAGAAGGGAGTTTAAGCAGCGACATTTTTGAGCGACGCACATTAACCGGAAGTGAGCTTTTTCTCTTTTAATAAGCCTTGACGCCACCAAATTTGTATTGCTAAGCGTCTTTACGCTTATAGAGACGATTTGCACAAACATTTGGGCAAAAGAAAGAATGCAAAAAGTCCACTTCCGATTGCTGTGCGTCACGGCTCAAAAACGTCTTTCCCTTGTAGCATGTTGATGGTGTTATGGTGTCTATGGGAGATTGTAGCGATAGTGATGGTGATGATGATGATGATGTTGAGGAGGAGGAGGATGATGATGATGATAATGATATTAATAATGGTGCTGATAATAATAGTGATGATGATGATGATTGTGACCGCGGAGAAGGTGGTGACTGTGAGGGTAGTTATTTTTCAAATAGGAGAATGATTGGAAAATCCCTATTTCCATTCATTTTTTTTTAATTAGAAGTTTAAAACAATTAAATTTGTGTCGCAGAATTGTTTCTGCGCATTCCTACCAACGCAAAAGCCTTCATCGTTCACTGAAAATCCCGGGAGACAAGGGACACACGTGTATGAGCCTGGAGTGTTTCTGCAGCGATCTCCAAAGCAGTTTACCTCAGGTGTTAGGCATTCATTGATATCTACATGAAGGAAGTATTAAAGGAAGGATTAAAATGTGTGATACCTGTAAAGTTCTGAGTTACACAAGAAGGACATAACCTTAGCCCCACGTAAGGGAATCCAAAACAGTCTTGGATTCTCGGCCGGGTTGTTCAAAGCTGGGTTAAGATAACCCAGGGTTAGTGCGAGATTCGAATTTAGATACAAAAGCTTAAAACGTATTTCAGTTTTAATTCTTTTTGTCTACAAGTTGATGATTGGAAGCTCTAAAAATAACAGAGAAAACTGTCCAAGAAAATGCTTTTGAACTCAAGAAAAAGAAACCTGGGTTAGATTTAACCCTGGGTTAAGCGCTAATCGGCCTTCGAACAACTGGGACCTGGATTCTACAACAAATATATTCCGGGATTCCTTGTCCGTGGAACTTGGATTCCCAGGATTCCACATTTCAATCGTGAGCGGGGATTCCGGATTCCTTGAGCTAAATTCCTCATTTCAAAGCACTCGATTCCGGATTCCACAAGCAAAAACGTCCCTGATTCTAAATTCCGGATTTCCTTACACGGGGGCGAACCTTTACAGATTCACCTTTCACTTTACCCTACGGCTTTTGTAACGGATTCAATTGTGCTCGAGCCTTTTCAAGGAACCGAATTCTGTTGAAGTTTTAGAGAGACAAAAACGTTTACGACCATCTGCTAATTCAAGATCGGCCATGAAAGTTACATTCCTGATCATAAGCACCTGTATAACTTGATAGGGCTTTGTTCTTAAAATAAATTTATATCCGTATAATCAGAAATAATCTTACAATCTACTAAAGACTAGCTTACCTTCACAGAGTTTAAGCTTTCCTTCTTCCTTAACTTCCTCAAAACCTTTCATACAAGCACAGTCATAAGACCCACTTGGTAATTTTATACACTTGCTATATTGCGGGCACGACAGTCCTTTTTTATCGCATTTGGTCAATACTGTAAAAGAACATAGATTTCAAGTGAATCCATGGAAACGATTCATATTACCAGAAGCAAATAGTGTTTGCAATACTTTAACCTGCGATCAGGCGATTTTTTTTTTTTTTTGGCGGGGTTGACAAACAATTGTATCAGGCGTATTTTTCCCCCCGCCAAAAAAAAAAAAACCCCTGATCGCAGGTTTGCAATAACTTTATTATTATGTTATTATCCAAAAAAATTTAATTTTTGCATATTATTTGTTTTCATATTATATTTTTGGGGTAAATTAATAATTGACAAAATTTGGGAATTAAAGA